GGTGGTGCGCATTAAGTTTAGTTTTAGAGATTAATATGTTTATAGATTTTTTTATAGGTTTAGAGATTAATATTTTTTGCTTTTTGTTTGTGAAACAAGGTCAGAGGAAGCTGGTTCTGGTTTGGTGGATTGGACCCGGTGTTACACCATACTCTGTGACCTGCAACAGTTCAACACCGCCCCTACGGTTATACGGTGGTCACATAATATGACGTCACTACAGATACTCGATGTTAAATTTTTAACCTCAATAGATGTCCTAGCAATCGATGTGTAGATTACTCAAGTACTCTGTTAATGCCCTAGTAACAGCTGTAAGAGCTGGTGACATATATTCAGTAACAGCCATATGATATGCATAGCACTTTAACTTATATTAAATGAAAAGTGTTAAATGTTATTTATTAGCATTAGTCACCTGTAATGTGTCTCCCTTGTGGAGGCTTGTTCCAGGTTCCTAGCTACAGTGTGGGATCCTCTGCACTCTGGTCCATGAAGGACAACCTTTTTAAGTCCAAAGGTTTTGTCTATCCATTGTGCCATAAGACTAATCATGCTAACGGGTAAAACTCACCCAAGTGCTATCGGGTATTAGCTTCTCAGTGATGTCAGAAATGATGGCTTGTAACTCAGGTAAAGTTACGTCAGAAAAATATCTCCAACTGGGGACGATGCTCAACGTAGTCCAGAAATCTTTGGAATCCGATATCCTCAACAACCACAAAAAAAAAACGTCCACACCGCTGACATTTTGACTTCTTCCTCTCCGCTGTGATCAGATCAGGGCGTGAGGTCATTACATTGTGCTGCCGCTGCAGGCATCCTTGTCACTGGGTTGTCATACAAAAACAGCGCCTTTCATATCGGTGATTATTTTGATGGAATGGCTGATGTCCGATATTTAACTTTAATGCTAAAATCGATACATATTTTATATATAATACAGATACTGATACCATGACAATAATATTATGCATCCCTAGTCAGTAGTATTATAGTATAAGACTAAAACTTAATTTAAATGTAAAAGTAGAAAGATGTAGAGTGGTAATAAAGTTTTCTAGGGCAGTGGTTCCCAACCTCAAAGACCCCCCTTCTTAACAACAAAGTCCATGCTCAATAATCTAGGTATACAATCCAACATTTTTCAGTCAGGTCATCTGGACAGTTTCTTTTTTTTTTGTGCTGAAACGTTTCGCCTTTGATCTGGAAGGCTTCATCAGTCAAGGAAATACACAACACAAAACTGATTCTTCCCCCAACAAAGTGGAAGAAACCAGTTTGGTTAGTGCTAGATGGTCTGTTTGGTATGCGTTTTGTTTTTTTTGTTTTTTTTTGTTGAGGTTACGTTGGAAAAATATCTCCGACTGGGCTTATTTGATATTAGCATTAAAGTTAAAGTTAATATATTTCTAGAATTGTGCCGCTCAAGGTGGCTGCATGTTGTTTTCAGGTCTCTCTTGTAAATGAGTCCTCGAGGCTTAATGGGATTTACCTGTCTAAATAAAGGTTGAATGAATGTTACTTTCATTCTGAGATTTTGCTTTTGGAAACTCTAATTCCTCTTTTTCTGGATGTAAATCACATTTTTTGGATGATTGTTTCCTCTGGTATCGGATGCTGTGCAGCTGGCAGGATTTTTACTGAAACTTTTTTAGTTTTGGACATTTGTTATGATGCATAACCATGGCAACAAGGCAGTTTTCTACAACCAACAGCAGCTGATTAACATCTCAAAAGCTCAAATAATATCTCAACTACAGCCCCAAGTCTCAAATGAGTTGAAAAGGATGTTCTGTGGATGCATTCTCATCTACCTGCCAGCTGTGCTCGAGTCCCTGACCACCGAGATCCTGGAACTAGCAGGAAACACGGCTCATGACAGCAGAAGGACAGGATCGTCACTCGGCACCTACATTTGGCTGTCTGCAGCGACGAGGAGCTCGGCAGGCTGCTGGGAGGAGTGGCCATCGCTCTGGGAGGAGTTCTGCCCGGCATTCGGGCGGTCCTACAGCCTGGGGGAACCGAGAGGCCAGCTGAGTCTGGGTGGACGGATCGGACGGCATCTGCAGCCAGTTTCTTAGGATCCACTGTGGGATGGACCTTTACAAGAGATCCTTCCTGTCTACAGCCATCAGCATCTATAACATCTCTTAATGAAATGAGGATAACGAGTTACAACAAAAAATAATTTCCCTTTGGGATTAATAAAGTATTTTTGAATTGAATTGAATATTTATCAGTACAACAGTAGATAATCATTAAAAAAAACATGATTTGAAAATTACAAGAAAATTATATATATTAAAAAAATTTAAAAAAAAGAAACAAAAACAGCTACATTATAAATTGATGTAAATAACTAAAAACAGGAACATGTCTATGTTGGTTTATGTCATGAACTTAGCAGGTGTTTGAAGCCATTTAACATTTTATTTGATTTAATTAATTTATTCATTCATTTAAAAGAAACAAAATTAAAAATAAAAAATAAAAAAAAAACATTGAATGAAAAGAGTGCAGAAAGAAGAAAAAAAATTCTTATATCTGCCCCTTATTTAAAAAAATATACAATAACTTTAAACAATCACTTAAATTAATCAATTTAATATCCACTTTAAAGCTAGGAATAAAAAAAATGTTTTTGTCAGGATTTTGTGGACAGGAACGAACCCAATGTGCAGACAGGACT